TGTATTTCTAGCTCCTCCTTTTCAGCTTGGAGCTTAGCCTCCCTTTCCTCCAGCAAGCGTTTCTGTCTTAAAGACGATGCCTTAATCAATAAGGTAGCTCGCTCCACCTCTGCCTTCATGCGTGTGGACGACACCGATGACGAAGCGCAGGAGCCGCGTTCTGACAATGCCTTATCACTGCGTTTTGAGACAGATGCATTAGATATGCTGTCAGATGGATCCACATCTTCATTGCATTTTTCAGCCTCCACAGCGCGCATGGCCATCTTGTCAATCCAAGCCGAAGCTGTCTCAGCAGAAGCCTTAAAGGAATCAGCCTTAGGTTCAAACCAATTTTCCTGGTCTTTAGTTAAATCCTCCTCCGGCGTTTGCTGGAGCACCTCTTTAACATTTGTGTTCAAACCACAAAATTCTCCAAACTGCTCATTAAAATCCTTCATTAACTGTGTTACTTCTGTTAGGCTGGTATCACATTCATTTTCCATCAGCTGGCGCACTTGTTTCACTGTGCCTGTTAATTTGGCTAGCTTGGCCTTCCGTAAATTGATAACACGTTGCAGCCTTTCCTCCATAGCTTTAGGTGTGATTTTCACCGCCCTAGCTTCCAATTCTGCTACTGTGTCTTCTTCTTTGTTGTTCATGCTATTAATTTCCCGAATAGCAACACCAAAATCCTTATTTTATCATCCAAAAATCATGCAGGTTGGCTACCACACAGTTCAGCATCCACCATGACTCAGCAATTTTTCCTCGTGAATTAGCTCCACTTACTCACGTTTGTTGTCGCTGCAGCAGCTCGGGTTTTTTCCTTCTTTAGTCGCGTCAATTACTCCACAACGAGCGGGTTTTCCTACAAAATGTGTAAGCCGTGAGACCAGTTTTCCCGTGATTCACTCGCGTACGTCAGTTTGAAGAGGAAAAAGAACTCCACGGGACTCCGATGTGAAAAGATGTAACAAAAAATTTATTCCACAGTTTTTGCATCTTACAGGAGTGGTCAGGTTTAACTTGTCCTCAACAAAATAACCTACTACGGTAGGAAAACCGTGTGGCTCTGTTCTACCCTGCTGCCCCGTATAGCTTATGCCGTGTTAACTCCTTTTCTCTCTCTCTCCCCCCTCCCGCACCGCATGCACTAATTTGCATACATCCGTGATGCCCGGATTTTACTATAAACACGAGTCTTTAAGGCACATGTATTCATGGTACTACGTAACCTAGTTCCACCATAAACATGCATCTATTTCCTAAAATTATTAATTACACAAACAAGCTTAACAACAGCGAAATATAAATACCGTATTTTCACGACCATAAGACGCACTGTACTAAAAGGCGCAGTCTCAGTTATGTGTGCCATTACTGTATTTAACACACACATAAGGCGCACTGGATCATAGGGCGCATACAAGTACCGTATGCGTATTTAAAAATAAAGCGGGAGCAAACCTGAGTTCGGTACCTTACTCACATTTTTATTACCAGTAATCGTCATCATCAACAACACACAAGCATACAAGTGTGCGTATTTAAAAATAAAGCAGGAGCAAAACGAAGTTTGGTACTCACATTTTTATCATCAATCAAACCCATCGAAGTCCTCATCCTCTGTGTCTGAATTGAACAGCTGCGCTAAATCTCCATCAAACATGCCAGGTTCACTTTCTTCACTGTCAGAGTCACTTTCCGTGCCGTGCGGCTCCTCGGAAATGATGCCGGCTTTTGCGAAAGCTCGAACAACAGTGCCAGCAGACATGTTAGCCCAAGCATCTACAATCCATTGGCAAATTGTGGCGTAACTCGCCCGGCGCTGCCTTCCACTCTTGGTGAAACTGTGGTCTCCATCGGTCATCCATCGCTCCCAGGCCGCTCGCAGCCTTACTTTGAACGGGCGGTTCACACCGATGTCCAGCGGTTGGAGTTCCTTTGTCAGGCCTCCCGGAATGACAGCAAGCTCACAGTTCATTTGTTTCACTAGTTTTTTCACATCGGCTGTGAGATGGGCACGCATAGAGTCACAGATTAAGAGCGATGGTGATGCGTGGAAAAAACCACCTGGTCTCCTTACATACACCTCCCTCAGCCACTCTTTCATCATTTCCTCATCCATCCAGCCCTTTTCATTTGCCTTAATGATGATTCCTGCTGGAAACTTCTCTTTAGGCAAAGTCTTTCTTAAAAATCACCATAGGCGGCAGTTTCTGTCCATTAGCATGGCAGCCAAGCACAACAGTAAAAGAAGACTTTTCATACCCCGTTGTGCGTATCGCTACCGTGCTGGTCCCCTTCTTCTCCACAGTGTGACTCACCGGGATGTCAAAAGTGAGCGGGACCTCGTCCATGTTTGTGATGTGGCTGGGCTGGATGTTTTTGTCGCCGATGTGTTTGCTGCAGTAGGAGCGGAAGATGGCCAGCTTTTCCTTATAATCCGCTGGAAGTTGCTGCGCTACCGTAGTCCTGGTCCGGATGGAAAAATGGCACCGTTTCATAAAAAGTGAAAGTGAAACTGCTTTTAGCCGAATGGTGACCGTCGAAACGCTTCTCCCGCTCGTTCTTTGCTCGATGATCCACCGCTCGAGTCTTTCCTCCAACTCGGGCCACCTCGCCTTATGTCCGCGGAAACTCAGCTGCGTTTTCTTGACCTGCCGGAGCTTGTTTTCTAGCTTCCTCCATTTGCGAACCATCGATTCGTTAATCTTAAATTCTCTCGCCGCTGCTCGATTTCCATGTTCCTCCGCGTAGCTGATGGCCTTCAGTTTAAACTGTGCTTCATAAGCGTGTCTCTTTGCCATTTTCAGGGTTGCGCCCACACTTCACCCTTTAGCGTTCTCATGGTGTTCTCTACTACGTCCTCCTTACAACACACAGGGCGCACTGCGCTATAGGGCGCGCCGTACTTTTTGAAGAAAATCTAAGACTTTTAAGTGCGCCTTATGGTCGTGAAAATACGGTAACTAAAACATCTGAACTATCTTAACTTGGCTCCCACACTTTTCAACTCAAATTTCAGCTTCTTCACCCCTTTTCATCAGAATTTTCAGTTTCTTCACCTCTTTTCAGCAAAAATCTCAGCATCTTTTGCTCATTTCAGCAGAATTGTCCATTTCTCCATCTCTTTTCAGTTTCCTGAGAACCCATGTGGCTCAGTGAGACAAGTAGCCACCTTGAGACTAGGAGGCCTTGGTTTGAACCCTGCTCTGCGCAACTTTTCTTTTCAACAGGCAGTTAAACTTTTCCAGCACAAACTTTGTGTTGTGAACCAGTTTACCTCACTGAGTTGAGCAGCTTTCCTGAGAGCAGCGGACCCCGGTTCGAGTCTTTTAGAAAGTTCAGCTTTTTCATCTCTTTTAAGCAGAAAGTTCTACAATTTCTGCTCTTTTCTGAATCTCGAAATATGTTTTCGGCAAACAGTTCAAGCTCACAGAACTTCAGCTTGTGCAATCTTTTCAGCTGACTGGTTCGCTTGATCAATAATTTTTAAATAAAAAAAAAATAGTGCACATTTTTTCTCTCATCATATCTTTTCTTGGAACTAGAACTGGTTTGACTCAGTGGGATGAGCAGCTCCCTTGAGACCTGGTGGCGAAGGTTTGAATCCTATCTGTGGCAGTTGCTGCACATCTTCCCTGTTTGCATGCACACTGCTTTCTTGACACTCTGCAGCGTACCCTTTCAAATACAGCTTCAGCAAGCACTTCAGCTTCTACACCTCTTTTCAGCACAAATTTCAGCTTCTTCATCTCCTTTCTGCAGAAGTTTCAGCTTTTTCAGCGTTCTTCAGCAGTTTGCTCTGCATCCTCTGCACCCTGCACATTTTTTATCTCATCATATCTTCTATTCAGCTGAGAACCAGTTTGTTTCAGGGAGATGAGCAGCATTTCTTAGAGTGGGAGGGCCAGGTTCAAATCCTAGTCATGGTCCCATTTTTTTCAGTAGACAGTTTAACTTCTTTAACTCTTTTCAACAGAAATTTCAGCTCCTTCACTTCTTTTAGGCCAAACGTTCAGCTTCTTCACCTCTTTTCAGCACAAACTTCAGCTTCTTCAGCTCTTTTCAGCAGATTCCACAACACGGCATTCACACTGCATTTTCGCAGGAAATGCAACTTTTTCTAGTTATTTTTAAGATTCTCTTTCACTGCAGGTGTCCTACATAACAGAGCTAAATACACTCATTAGAATTAGGAATTTAAATTTGAATACATTTTTTATTCCCATGCACTAATGTGAATTTGTACAGAAATGGTTTATAGAGTTGTCCTTCAAGGAACTACTTTCTTCTTTCTTACTTTGAGTACATTTCAGAGCCTGCTGTACTTTTTCACTTTTACTTGAGTAAAAACGTTTCTTCAGTACTTCAAATTTTACTGGAGTATTTTCTAACCCAGACATCTGTACTTCTACTCAAGTAAAGAAAGTCTGTACTTTTGCCACCTCTGCTGCATCTCTGAGATGTGGAAAAATCACTGGGTTGATGTCGACCTCTGCATTGTGGGTATGAGGATATGATGGATTTCCAGCAGATCCAGTAGATCCAGTAGAGGGGTGTGTGGGATCCACTGTGATCTGGCATGCCAGTCATTCATTGTGCCACTAGAAAGTGCTCTTTAGCAACTTATTAGTCATCTTGCACAACTCTTCTGCCTCTGCACTCTGTCCCATCATTGTTCATGTCTCTCCTTACAGTTCTTCCAAAATGCTCCTCAGACAAAAGCTCTGCTTTTAATTTTGCAGAGTAAGCAGAGAGAATGGGATTTAAAAGTGTGAAGTAAATTGCAGGCTGTACCACCAGCACTGCATGTGGTCCCTGGAGTCTCTTTCTCAGTGTGGTCAACCAGCACACAGGAAGAGAGGTAATGTGCCCACTGGGAGGATCTCCTCTCACTACAAGCTTCTTCTTCCAATTGTGTGCACACAAATTGCTATGTGAGGGCTCCGAAGTCCAAATGTGTCCTTAGTTTTCAAGCAGGTAAAAGCCAGACGGATCTTTCACTGCTGTAATTTCATCACTACAACTTTAAAACACCTGAATTGATGAGACAAGAGGACTGTGCTAAGATAAATAGGTTAATAGTCACTGAGTAACAACAACAGCTGTGGCCAGAAATTCCTCCCACACATCTGCTTCACAGTAGCAGCTATCAAAGGGGAACCTCAGTGGTCAACCAACCTAAATCACTGACTGCTGTAATGTCAGAAGGTAAAACAGACCATTTCAACAACACAGACACCTTGAACTGTTCCATCCTGCACACAGTATGTTCCTCTTTCCTCTTTAATTCTATGCAATTCTGTTCGGTTTTTTCCACATCGCGCTAAATGTCACCACTGCCTCAGAGTGCTTTTTATTGTAAGGTAAAGACCCTACAATAAAACACAGTAAGCGGCAATAAATAAGACTTCTATAACACCATTAAAGGCAGTCGTGAACAAGCGTCTCTGTAAGTTCAAAGAGGTATAGAGAAAGTCCACATGTGATCTGCAGGAAAAAATCAAAGAACGTCAAATTTTAGGACTAGGTTAACTTTGTCAATAAGCAGACTGTTGGGTGAAGATATGCTTCTCCCAGTTTAACTTAAAGGAAACATTTACCAGCGCGAGAGACTCAAGAGAAAATAAGATCAAAGGGTGCAGAGATACTGAAACCAACCAAAGACATGTCGTGGAAGAGCGCCAGAGATTAATAATAACTAATGTGTAAACACATAATGAGTGAAGAAGAAACACTAATCATGGGAATCCCCCACAGCCTAGGCCTATTGCATGATACCTAGGGGAGGATTAAGGGTCACCTGATCCAGCTCTAACTATATGCTTTATCAAAATGGAATTTTTTAAGACTAATCATATGTAGTAAGTAAGTAAGTAGAGACGGTGTCTGTTCTCTGAATCAAAACTGGGAGCATATCTTAATTGTTTTGCTATATTTATTTATATGTATAAAAAAATATATTGGTATTGTTTACATTTTAATGCCTCTTGGGGTATTATCCGACTCCATCCAAATCACTGAATTCATGTGTTACAATCACTTTCTCAGGTATGGAGACAGCTTCTAAAAATATGTGAAAAAAAATGGTTGCTCCCAGGAGCTCTGTGACTCCAGTATGGCACTGTGACAGGATGCAGTCCAGTTGTGATATTTCATTACTACTAAATATTATTCCACAGTCAACTGTTAGTGGCATTTTAACAAAGTGGAAGCAACTGGGAATCACAGCAACTCAGCCATGAAGTGGTAGGCCACATAAATCACAAAGCCTGAGATCGGCAACTTTCTGCTGAGCCAGTC